ACACACAATGATGTCATATGTGGGATCCATAGGGTAGTTCAGAGGAAAATGCTCCGATCTATCCAATCACTGTGCCTCAGATTCTCACCTTATTCCTGGGCTGAATGGCACAAACCTGCACAGAGAAGCCCAGTCTCTTGCTTGCCCTCTAGGAGCTCACAGCCTAGAGGAGGAGAGGGACAAAGCACTAGAGATTGTAGTGGAAGACAACACCGAGTGCTGAAACCAATAAAGCAGGTGGCAGAGGAGAGGGCTGAGGCCCCTGCATGGGGGCACCTGAAAAGGCCTCACTAAGCTGATGTTGACACCTGTAGCTGCAGACAAGTGGCCCCTCGTCCTGCACAAAGCTGAGAGTGTGTGGAGGGGACCAGGATCCACGATGTGGAGATTCAAAGTGAATATCCTTTGCAGGCAGGAAAGAGTGAGAAGCGAGGACAGCGTGCCCAGAGAGAACCAGGGAGGAAAGGAGGGGAAGGAGGGCCGAGGGCAGGGCCACAATCTATTGTGTATCCTTGAGCTACTCCTGTATGACACGTGACTTCAATCTCATCAGGTACAACAGGTAAAGGTCGGTTTTCTCCAAGTTTCTGTGGCCGGGGAAACCAGGAGGCTCTGCTGGGGCCTCGACCATAATGACCCTAATATCCAGGGAGGCCGGGCTGCAAACTCAGTGCAGGCACTGCTGTGGCAGAACCTGCTCCTGGGCTCTGGCGCGTGCATGCAGGCAGGATCCGCCAGGACGGAGGCCGGATGTCTCCTCTGCCTGCTGCCCTTTCTCTCTCAGGACTCAGCCTCTTCTCAGGGAAGCTGTAGACACAGCTTAGGTCAAATTTAACCAAATTCCGCTGATTCTTGAAAATAATACAATATTGATGAAATGAATGAGAAGACACAAAGAGAAAGAAACACATACCACCATTAAGGATGGAGGAATTCATGTCATACTGTCCATGCTACCCCAGCAACCAGCGGTTCCAGTGCCATTCCTGTCAAAACATCAATGATATTTTCCTAGAAAGAGAAAAATCTATATGAAAATTCATATGGGACTACAAAGAGCCACCCCATAGCTACGAAAAGAAGATTCCAAGTAGAGGACTCCAAATACCCAATCTCAAGGTATATTGTCACATGACAGCGATCAAACCAGTCTCCTACTGCAACAAGAGCAGGCCCGTGGGTTAAAACAAACAGCCCAGTTAAGAACCAAAGTATACAGCCACGAGGACATCTTTGTAGCCACAAGGGCTCACTTTGTAGGCCAGATTGGCCTCAAACCTGCAGCAATCCTCCTGCCTCAGCCTCCCCCGTATTCGCATTACAGGTGTGTGCCGCCACGCCTAGATTCTTGTTTTTTGAGACAAGGTCTTGCTATGTAGTTTAGGTTGGCCTTGAAATCACTATGAACCTCAAGCTGGCATCAAACTCTTGTCAGTCCTCCTGCCTCAGCCTCCTGAGTGCTGAGATTATTGGCATGTGCCAGCACACTTGGCTAGTTAGTGAGCTTTTAGCAACACTGTAATGAAAAGTCTAGTGGTACTGCTTATCATCACAGCAGTCTGGGAGAGTGAGACAGGAGCTTCACAAGTTCAAGGATATCCTTGGCAACTTAGCCGTTCATCTAGAAAGTGGCCCAAAAGAAAGAGTTTTAAAAATGGATGGCAATGTAGGTAAACACAAGGCCCTATATTCAATTCCCAGAAATTAAATGAAAAAAAAAAAAAAAAAAGGCTTGGAAAGAGAATGTGGGCGGACAAATACTGTTTGACATTGGCCTGGTCTTCTGGAGGGCAGTGTGCCCCAAGTAGCTTGAACCTTCTCACCTTGCTTGGGCATGTGACTTCAAAAAGTGATCAAATCCCATGATGGATGGGGAGAAGGACAATGTGCTCCAAAGGACACAAAGTCTCAGGCACAATGGAGAAGGCAGTCTGAGTGACCGCTGCACGGCACGGGGATCCCACTGAGTAAGCAATGAATCTGTCAAAACTGTTCAACAATGGGATTTTTAATCCTACTCACTGTGAAAGAAACTGTAGTCACTAAGCTGGTAGATACATTCACTAGGTTGAATCTACAACACATCTAAAGATCAAAACAGCATTTTATTCCATGAATCCATGCAATTATTGTCAATTACTAAATAAGGATATTGCATAGCTGTACTCCCAGCACTCTGGGAGACTGAGGAAGGAGGATCACAGGCTTAAGCCCGGCCTGGAAAACTCAGTGAGTTAGTAAGACCCTGTCTCAAAATTTAAAAAAAAAAAAAACAACTTAAAGTGCATGCATATGTAAAATGTATTGTTCTGGTTTGGGGTTTATTTTGCAAGCTAAAACAATAGGATACAAGACATATATTTTATAAGATTATTTATAGTAGTCACTCAGAGAGTGATGTACAAAGGAGTGGAGGAAATCTGTCCACACACTATAGACCAGGAATGCAGCTGAGGGCCTGGATCCCATGACGATGTCCTGCATGAGTCCAGCTGAAGCCCTAGAGCCCATAACAATGCCTTCCACAAATTCAGCTGGAGGCCCAGAGCCCACGACAACATCTCACACAGGCCTGTTTCATGGATCTGTGCTGGGAAGGCCCAAAATCAGTGGTGGAATCTAGGAAGTCTGTGCCAGTGGGATGAAGGATCTGTGCTAGCAGGCTGAGGGATCTGCACTGGAGTCAGAAAGCGATGTGCAAAGTAAGAACCAGAGCTCCCCTGAAAAGTACCACAGCCATCCTCAGCAACAGTGAGGTCCCAAGCTCCTCCAGTGGTGAAGACAGCTGAGTTCCCATCAGGAAAGCCAACATAGCAAGCTTCTCCAGGAGACTAGCAGTGCACCATCCTCCCCTCCAGAGCCAGGAAGCGATGCTCAAGGTGAGGACCAAGCTTCCCCAAAGTGAACTGAAGTTATTCTCAGTGCCAACAAGGTCCTGAGATCCTCGAAGGATGAAAACAACCGAGTTCATCAGGAAAGCCAGCATGACAAGCTCCTCCAACTGGGCCAAGAGCTCCTTACATCTTCCACCAGCTCCCAGCATCCTTTCTCTGTCCCCAACAGCCAAACTTCTTCACCTCCAGTTCTGCTTCTTACGCTGTTGCCAATAATCCCCAGATGGGCCTCCCACACCCAGCACCTCGCTTACTCAGTTCAGTGGAGCGGGAATTATAAGTTGACCACCGGTTGTCAGTCCACTACATGGACCAATAAAATCTGAAAAAACAAGTGCATGGGAACATAGCTCAATAACAAATCCCTGAGATCATTGTGCACAGTGTATTAAACATTGTTATTCTGTAATTATTCTGCTATGAAACATTCAATCTTTTTATAGAAGAGGAGCACCTTTTATGTTCTCCTTATTCACATGTACTTGAGTTGCACTAGAATAAAACAAGAAAGTGTTTGGAAAAAAGGAAATCTCGTGTTCAAATGCTGCCGCTAAAAACGAATTTAGGCACAAAAAGAATGACTGATTTCTCTTCATACTAAGATCCCCAGATCCTGAGAGGGTGTATTCAGTAGCAGATCCATAGCCATCTCAGGTAAATGTTAAAAAAACACATGGAATGATGCAAATAGCTGGCAGTGGACCACGGTCTAGGTGATGGTAAACGCTATGTCAGCTGTTGTTGATGAAAGTACATTTGCAAGAAAAACTCGCCAAGCTTTGATTCCTGAAATTATAGGTGATTTTTGTCTTTTCCTTTTTAAATTCTCTCCAGAACAAAACTACTTGAGTTTATGTAATATTCTTATACTTTATCGGGCTGATTACACAAAGTCAAATCAGAACACAATGAAAACACCAGGAAAGGGATTCAAAGCCCTCACCAAAAGATAACACACCGAAGCACAACAGAAACAAAAGCCACCCCCAACTCTGCCTTAAACAAGGGCCTCAAAAGATATTTTCACAATCTCTAAATCACCAGACACCAGCAATATCATGCAGCAGTGTGGCTTGCAAGTACTTTTCCAGTGGAACAAAAGTCTATCTCCATACAGACACATGTATGAGAGCGGTCATCGCATCTTCGCTTTTAAGAATCCACCCCGGAAACTGAAGCCATGTCCATCAGCAGACGGGAGCATGAACAAGTCGGGGTTCAGCCGCACAATGGCGTGCAATGGCTCCTCCAGCGAAGCTCAGGTGGGGCCCAGCACGGGCACACTGCTTGAAGAAGACCCAGCAAAGAGGCTTGCTGCTGAAGGGCTTCAGCTCCATCAGCTCTCGAAAAGAAAAACTGTGCAGTCAGGACACAGCGCACATGGACTGCTTGGGAGGGGAGGACAGGAAGTGCTAACAGCGGCCACCAGAAAGTTTCCCAGGGATGTGCGCATGCGTCCTTGGTCAGCATGAGGTGATGATCCCCACGGCCCTGCAAAGACCTCACCTTGCATTCCCCACCTGCTGTCCCTCCTCACAGGATGTCACAGAACCAAGTACTACAGTGCGTGACTGAGTTCAGCATCTTTGTGTGAATAATTAACCATTGATGTGCACTTGAAACTAAAAACGTGCTATGAATCCTCTTCTGGACAGACAGGGCTTCTAAGATGAAACTTTTATATCTTTTAAGGAAAATTACTGTGGGCATTTTGGAAACATCTCCATATACCCCACTGGAACTGAAATAAAACTGAAATCAGCTCAGGAAAGAAAATCGTCCTAAAATTTGACAGATCTCCAAGTGGTGACCCTGAATTGGACCCTTTGAACGGAAGAGTGCTCTTGGCTCTGTGCCTGCCCCAACTTGAGCATCTACATATTTGCTATGTGAACAATTCCAAGTGCAGCAAAGTCTAAAATCACAGGCAGCTTTTCTAGCTTTTCACTTGCTGTTTCTAAGGAGCACACACACTTGTTCCACTATGAAGAAAGGGGCCCAAGTCTTCCTCTCAGAGGGGAGGCTCAGCTACGGACCCCAACACCGGACCTCACTTCCTTGGCCACAGGTCCAAACAGAACTTAGAACTCTGGTCACCAGCCACAACTGCCATCCCAGGCACTTGGCTGGAGACAGCGAGCAGCCAACATGCTCTGCTGCTTTCCCAGGCCTCGAGGCCCCAGCCTCAGGACCCCGCATGGAAAAGCCACTTGGGAACGAGGGAGAGGATGGTTCGCTCGGCCCAGATGCTTCAGCACCCGCACCAGGAACCGCCCAACTGTCATGGGCAGCACAGGGCAGGGCTCGGCAGCTCCGGCCCCCAGGCACTCAGAGACAAGAGGGAGCCCAGGACAGGTGTCCCTAGGCTCTGCCACCAGCCACTCTGAACCGTCGTGTCCAGGACAGGCCCATTTAGGCCTGGCCACCACTGTGAGTCCCCTGCACCACTCCCACCTGAGGTCATGCGTGGGAGAGGAGTTCAGGGACAGGGTCTGGAGGGTGTGTCTTTCTGGACAGGAGCAGGTGCTGGGGGGCTGTGAGGCAGGGCTCCTGTCACCTTCCCACCCAGGACAGGGCTGGCAGGAGGAGAAAGGCAGTGCTCAGTGCTAATCCACAGCTTCCAATGCCACCTGCTGTCCTCCTGAAGTAGAAGCCTGTGACAGGGTTGATCACGATTTGGGGAGCACAAAGTTGTCTGGAGCAAGAAAATTGCAACGGTCCTCAGGCCCAGCCTCGCGCTTCCTGCTGGCTGCCCGCCACTGCCCTGATGGAGCTGCACACAGCACATCGGGGTGGACCAGGTGACTGGGGGCCTGTGTGCCATGTCCCGGTACCAGACTCTGGGACCCACAGTAACAAGCGTGGGGTGAGTGTGTGAGCAGAGGGCCCAGAGAGGACAGAGATAACAACCAGGAAACAACTAGTTGTTATCGGGGCTACACAACAACTTCAGCACCTCCCTCCAAGGTTTACAAGAGCCCATGGTCCTGCTCCCAAATGAAGCTGGGGTCCATGTCCTCAGCCATCGTGTGGTCTCTGCTCCACCTCTGTCTTGGTCAGGTGCAAGGTCGCTTACCACACATCAGTGGGAACATCAGAATAGGGACATGGACACTAAGTCACTTCCTGCCAATACTGAATTCTGCCATTTCACTTCACTCAATTCCTGGGCCCAGCGTCTGTGGGGCACCTGCCTGAATGTCTTCCCATCATGTCTCCAGCTGTGCACATCACACATCGGCACAGGTGTGCTCACCCGAAACATCAGATACTTCCTACCCTGTCCTTTTCTCTGCCGTTTGCTGTCTCCCAGAGCTTATGCAGGTCACAAGAGGGGCCTCCTTTTGGCTAAATGATATTGAATCAGGGCAGCAGAGAACTCAGCCACTCTGCCTTACAAAGCTAAGGAAGCCAGACCTGATTCCTTCCTGGGGACTTTTCACCAGAAACCTGGGGAACATTCGGTGCAAACATGGACCTGCCCACCTAGGATGAGCCTCTCTTTTCTCATCTCTACAGTGGGACGCTGTCTCAGGGTTTATGGGTTGTTGTTCTTCATGCATGGTGTTACATACAAGCTCTCCAGAGCTACCGAGCTGGCCTGAAAATGCTAGTTTTAGGTGTTGCTTCTGAAATTTAACTTTTAATATGAGAATCCCTTTTCTGCTGGGGCCCTCCTGTGCCCCTCTGGCATGAGCCTCTGTGGACCATTTGGAGGGTGGGCTTTGGATGAGTACCAAACCCTCTTGAGAAGCCCTGGCTGGGACACCAATTCCATGTCCCCCCTCTGTCTCATCACAGATTGGAAGTCAGTCAGCAGAGAGCCTGGCAGAGGTCTGCACAGTGAGCACGGTGCAGGCAGGGCCGCCACACGCTCTGACGGAGCCCCTGGAGCCGGCCTTCCTGGACAGCGGCCCCAGCCCCGGCCCCTTCTTCCTGGACTCCTCAAGGGCCGACACCTCCACCCCACAGGCCCTGATGGTGGGAAGGTGAGCTCCTCTCTCAGCAGTACAGTGGGACTTGGCCACCTCTGGATTCAAGCCCAGGCAATGTCCAAGCACCTCTCTCAGCCTCAGTTTACAACTCTGAACAGTGGGGTGCTGAGCGGATTGAGAGCACAGAGTCTCTGAGGATGAAATGGCACCTTTATGGGAAGTGTTGGCCCTGGCCTTGGCCCTGGCAGGACCTGCTGCAGAGGCTGTGATGATTCTCACAGACGAGGCTCCAGCCCCACTGGAAAACTTTGCCTCCCCCTCACTGTAACCTGCACTTGGGGAAGATGAATTGGCCATTTTAAAGGAGACTGGGGAGTCACGTTATGGGCCTCAGGTTATACCCGGGCAAGGAATCCTTGGGGGATGGCCAAAGGCCCAGGCCCACGCAGGCACTGTGCAGAGCAGGTCTTCATATCTCACCGATGGACAGGAAGGCACACTGTGCACACACTTCTGGCATGAATCCTGATCTAATAAGCAGAGCAGGTGCAACCTCTGCCCTTTAGGTTTCAGTGCTATCTGCGGGCCACAAAGTCACCCTGAAGTGGAATAGGTATTGCTCCCACTATGGTGGATGTGATGCCCTCTTGACTCCCTAGATGTGGACACACAGCAGTGCCAGGGGAGCCCAAAAGAGGCACAGAGAATGGGGCATGTCCTTCCCGAGCTAGAGACTGCAGAGAGGCAGGACAGACTCCCCCTGGCCCCTCACTTCTCAGATGTTTGTGCAGCAGCAGCCCAGTGCCCTTGAGTGCAAGGACACAGCAGGTCCTGATCTGTCTTCACCGAGCTGACCTGCTTGGTGGGGCCGGCGGAGGAGACGCTGTCAGGCTTCCCTGAAGAAGGCAGAGGTGTCGCACCACTAAGCAAGGACTCCCTCCCACGGAGCCTTCTGTCAGTTTCTCGGGGCTGCCTGGGACCGCACTGCCCCACCGGGGGTGGGAGAGGGTGGGGCTGGACACTGTACTGACTGGGCAGGAGGCCCACATGCCCCTCCCTGCAGGCGTCCTGGGCAGGTAGTATGGGAGGAAAAGCCAGGCCTCTCACCCCTCTGCCTCCTGCCTGCCCCAGGTCCACCGTTCCTGTCCTTGACTCTGCACTGGAGCTGCACTCCCAGGTGGAGCCCCAGGCTGAGCTTGTCTTCCACCAGCTGGAGCCCCCTGAGCCCCCTGAGGCTGAGCCCCGGGGTAAGGAGGACTGGGGTGTGGGCCCGTGGGGAGGGGATGGCCTTGGAGCACCACAGAGCTTCCAGATGCCGGGTGACCCAGGAGACACTCAGCAGTCAGTGGGGGACGCAGTCTGGGAGGCCTTGCTGGGGCTGTGATGGGGCACACGGCTGTGTCTGACAGGAGGTGGGAAGGTTTTGGCCTGAGGAAGAGCATGGATAGTTGGTGATCCTTTCTCCTCTTGCAACTGTAGGGTCAGCTCCAGCCCACGCTGAAGTCCCAGCTACAGAGCTGGTGCCAGCTCCACCTGCAGCTCCCTCACCAGCTCTGGTCCCACAGCAAGAGTCGGCACCTGGATCTCCTTTGCCGCCAGCTGCAGAGCCGGAACTCCTGGTGGCTCCACCGCAGGGGTCATCTCTTCAGCTCTACCTGGAGGCAGCTCTTGACCCATACCTGCCATTCCCTTGTCTTCCAGATTTACTTATTATTGTATTTACTGCTACCCTCACTTCCCTGAGATATGCCGATGATAGAATTAATGTAAATAAAGCTTAGGATTTTATCCTTATTTGAAATAATCAGATCGGTGGCATTCAGTGTGCTGTCAGTGTTTTGTAGCCCTCACCACTGTCCCGTCCAGAACATCTCCAATTCTGTACCCAAAGGGATTTCCTTTTCTTTCCCTCCTGCTAGACCCTGGCCACCACTCCTCTTATGACCCTGTAATTTACCTATGCTACATTTTTCACATCACTGCAATCATGTTTTTCTTTGGACAGAGGATTTTGGAAGTGAATAATAAAAGAAAGGGCATAGTGACCATTGTTCCACCCAGGAACAGTGGGCTCCGTCCAGGTGCTCCTCTTCCTGTCTCGTCATAGGCTCACGCCTGGGTTTTTAGCTGGTGGGTGGGCAGTGTGTGTCAGGACACGGCTTCTCTGAGATTGTGTGTATGACCTGGGGACAGGGCCCTATCATCTGCTATCCCATAGGAAACAGCTACTTTTGTAAATTTCATTTCTGAGAGAGATTCCTAGTAGTGGAGTTTCTGGGTAACAGTCACAGAAGCTGGGGAGGACCCATTCCTGACAATGGAGTCTGCAGATACACAGTATGTGGGCACAGAGCTTCATGGCACTCTGGCAAGTGCAGCTCTACAAACCCTGGCATCCCTGTGGGGACAGTCCCTCCCGGCTCACTTGTCACATCTCGGAGGACATAAGAACAGTGTGGCATGGCCCCATCTCTGCTACTTGAAAACGGACAAACATTCTCTACATCTCAATTAAGTTTCTGTTATAAAATACGAAATCTCGGACATTCTGGATGCTGGGGGCTGAAGGTTCTTTAAAAGAATCTAATCTTTCCCTGTGGAACCTGCAGGATTCTCTTGACTCAGCTTCTTACAAGTCAGTAAATTTTGTATTTGTATGGGGGAGTTGAACCCCGTCCTTCTCATGGAGTGACATCACCAGCCCTATTTTATTTATTTATTTTTAAATTTTGACACTGGGTTTCACTATGTAGCTAAATTGCTCAGTCTGGGCTCAAATGTACAATCCTCTTGCCCTAGTCTCTCTGAGTATTGGGATTCCAAAGACTCAAAACCTCAAACAGCTTTACTAGGCATTTTTACAAAGCAAAATCCAAGCTCTACCGCTATGGTCTGGCTGACCACCTCTAGAATTTGATTCAATTGGTCTCTCTCTCCAGGTATATGGACTGTGCCCCAGGAGTTCTTCTATGAGAGGCCAACAACTTTCTGCTCTTGTGTCAATTGAGCAATCTTTCTTTCAAGGTCATCCAGCTTGTGTGTATGATACAGGCTCTGCACTGACCTCGCTACCACTCTGGACCCTGGAAGTCAGAGACCCCACATGCTTTCCCACCTTTCAGCAAGGTGAGCTGAGCAGAGGAGGCAGAATAAGCTGCTCATAGGAGATCTACCCTCCTCCACTCCCGAAGAGCCTGCATGAGGGGTATGAGCTGAAGTCTGCTCCATGTTCTGGGCTTGTGCCCATCAACACTGCCAGGAACCCTTGCAGCAGTATCCACGCACCGCCTGCAGCTCATGACCTCTACCAGCCTGCCCGGGCTCCTCCACGACCACACACAAACACACTCACCTTGTCAGATGCTGCGAGGCTGACAAACTGTGCATTCCTACCCACTGCATTTGATAGAAAGGAAGGGCCAGGGCCAGCCTGCTGGAGCAGGGCCTTGTGCTGGCAACGCCTGGGGACAGGGGCTGGGTGCTCAATACGAGCAACTTTGACAACAATCTATGGCTGATAGATTGCACTGTAATGCACCAGGTAGGGCCTAAATTCCACTCTGCTCTCCCCTCCCCTGCCCTCCCCTGCCTTGTCCACTCCTCTCCTCTTGTTGTCTGCTTACTCCCAAGTCCCATTGCATCCTGTTGTGTTCTGTTTTGCTCCAGCGGGAAGAGAAAAGTCAGCCCATTCAAGCCAGCTCCGAGGGCAGGCTCCTCCCCGTCATTCCTCCTGCCCTTGGAGTTGTAAGAAGCCTTCCTTGAGTGACAGCCCTTAGTTCCACTGCTGGCTTTTCGACTCCCGGTGGGCAGGCGGCCGGGGTGGGTTTCCTAAGATGTGCTGAGGACAGAGGCCCCTGGGTCAGGAGAGGGACCAAGGGCCACTGGCACGCTGGAAACACTAGAGGGCGACAGAGATCCGCTGCCGGGAAAGCGGGGGGCGGGGTGCTGGCGGGGGTGGGAACCTCCACCCTGGCCTGGAGGTTCGCTAGGGCTGCAGGTCCCAGGGCCACTACCAAGCACCGGTGACACAGGCTGGGCCTCTGAACACACACAGAGAACCAGGTCCCGGCGACACGGCAAGCCCCACGGGCTGCATCCCCAGGCACGGCAGGAGGAAGTCCCCGCTGCGGGCAACAGGGAAACAGGGAGCCGCGGTCTGGAAAACTTCAGGCGGGCTCCGGGGAGGCAAAGGACAGGGGTCTGCAGGGGCGGGAGGGGACGGACACGTCATTGCTGGAGGGGCTCGCGAGGCCCTGGGCACCCTCCCTGGTGCAGAGCGGCCCAAACAGCCGCGGCCCGCCTCGGAGCAGCGCAGGGAGGCGCTGGGGGCACCGCGCAAGCCCGGAGAGCAGCCCGGCCGCCCCGGATCTCCGGCACACTGGCGGCTGAAGACGCACCTGAGAACCAGGCTGGAGGCGGGTCAGGCGCCCCGCCGGGGAGACGCGCCCCGCCCCGCGCCCGGCCCCCGCCCGCCCCCTTGCCGAGCCCTCGGGACCAGCCGCCTGCGCGCCCTGCCAAGCTGCGGACCCGGCCGGTGGGACCCTGGGGGGCTGGGCCTCCTCCAGCAGGCAAGCCGGCTAGCAGGAGGGACACCCGCCCGCCAGGCAGGCCCAGTCCCCGCTCCGCCCCAAGGGTGGAGGGAGGCGGTCCCCAGGACCCCACCCGCCCGCCCCGCTCCTTGGGGGTGTGGTGCTGTGCGGGGTGGGGCGGGCGTTCCGCATATCACGCCCTTCCCAGAAGTCTGTCTCTCTCCCTGCGGGGCGCGGGACGTCCTCTCTCCTCTCCTCGCAGCTTGAGGGAGGGCGCGGCCCCTCGCTTTGCCTGGCAGCGGAGGGAGGCCGTGGTGGCGGGTGGGCGCCTGGGACGCTGGGAACTCGGGAAGCGGTGACCGGCCCGGCGGGAGGCGGGGCTGGGGCAGCGTCAGGGAAGGCTGTAGGTTGCCTTCTGCTTTCGGGGCACCCTGCTGGCTCCCGGGGGCTGGGGCCGGCGGGGTGGCCCTGCGGGGACAGCCGGCAACCCCGGCCGGGCTGGGCTGGGCTGGCGGGAGCGCAGCCGGGTGGAAGCGGGGCGGGCCCAAGAGAGCCAGCTGGCGCCTCGGGTGGCCTGGAGATCCTTGGAGCAGAGCGGCGGCCCCGGAAGGGGCGGAGAGGGACATGGACGTGGGCGGGGCGGGAGAGGCTGTGGTGCCAAGGAGGGTATCGCTCGAAAAATCAGCGTAGATCTAGAACTGTTAGAAAAGGTCGGCCAGGGAAAAAAAAGCGGTCGGCCTTTCCCGAGAAACACGCATTGGAACTCGCTTCGGCCCCATCCAATCATGGGGCCGCCCGGTTGGCTGCAGTGTGGGACGAGGTACTCGGCACATTCAGGCACCCGGCGTGGGCCCCCTACTCCTATCCCTTTCCCTACCCGCTGGACGCCAATGGCTGGCGGCTCTGGAGCGGGGGACACCCTCCCGCCTTGTTCTCCTGCGCCACACTCCTGACCCACTTGAACTCAGGCTTTGAGCCGTGCCCCCGCGGGCCCAGCTGCCGTGATGTCGGGGTGCAGGTGAAACAGCAGCGCGATGCCTCAGTTCAGCACACAGCTTGGGTGGCAGATGCCGCTGTGCAGGGTCCGGGACTCCAGAACCCCAGCGAGCACTCACACTTCCCGCGCTCCCACTGCCTCACCTGCTGCCCGGGAGAGGCCCCAGCGAGCATGCAGGGCCCTGTGGCACCTGCGGAGTACGAGGGGGCGGTGAGGAAGGCGTGCCCACTGCCAGGCCCTGGACAGGAGCAGCAGGAGGCTCAAACTAGTGAGGCGGCCCCACAGCCCACGCTGCGGAGGCCAAAGCGGCCCCTGGCAGCAGGGAGGGCTGGGGATGCCAGGATGCGACCACCACTGTGCAGGAGAGGTGGCCGCCGCGTGCTGAGCCAGGCAAGGAGCGCTTGCGCTTGCCGCAAGAATATGGGGGTTATCACTGCAAATACTGCCACATTCTCTGAGAGAGTGCTGACGCAAAGTGTGTCCAGGGTACAAACAAGGTTTACTTTAAACAGTTTTGCAGAACCTGTCAGAAATCTTACAACCCTCACGGAGGGGAGGATATCACCTGCCAAAGTTGTAAAAGAACTAGATGTTCCTGCTCAGTAAGACTTCGCTGTGTGGGCCCCAAACACGCTCATCGTCAAGACTTGTGTGAGAGATGCAGGGGCAGGCGCCTGTCCTGTGCTGGCGCTGGTACTTGGAATCCAGACAGAAACGAAATGTCCAGCGGCCAGAGCAAAAGTGACAGGCAGCATGCACACGGCTGGGCACCCCCCCGAGCCGCTCGTGGGGTGGTGCAGGCAGTGGAGCCCATTCCTAGAACAAAGCAGGACTAGCGAGGCCCCGCCACCAACTCGCCCAGCCCCTCAAGGCGATAAAATAAAAGCTGCAGCCAGTTCCTGCCAGAGCCTAAAGTATCAGCCCCGCTCTACCCAGGCCCTGACTGGGGGCGGCCGCCGCCTCGGGAGCCACACTCTCCCGCCTCGCTGCTCCGGGCTGCTACCATTCCCCTGCCCGCAGCGCCCTTCCCCCAGCTCACTGCTGCTCTGGCCCAAGGGCTGCAGGACACACTGGGGTGCCAGATAGAACAGGGAACAAAGAGGCCAAGGCCCAGGGCAGAGGTGGAGGGGGCCGCCTAGGAAGTAGCTGGCAAAAGGCTCAAGCCAGATGGGCCTGGAGAGGGCGGCCAGGATGGGGATGAGGAGCTGTGGGGACATGCAGCGGACTTCTATCCAAAAGCAAAGGGGGAGACAGTTATGGAGGCTGGCAAGGTGG